TCTCTCTCTCTCTCTCTCTCTCTCTCTCTCTCTCTCTCTCTCTATCTATCTATCTATCTATCTATCTATCTATCTCTCTCTTTATCTTTATCTTTCATATATATAGCGAAAGGGTTGATGAATAAGAATAAAAATAAAAATAGATGTAGATGAAGAATAGTAGGAGTAAATAGAAATAATAATAAAATAAGGAAGAATCGCGGCTTTCTCTCACGTAGCAGCGTACCAGGCAACAACGATGACAACTGTTCGCAGGCCGGTCGAGTCCGTCGCTTTTATGGGGATAGCCGAGCAGCAGCAGCAGCCGCCAGTTTGCAGCCGTGTCCTCCTCTAGCGCCGCGCGCTATTCAAATACATGCCAGAGAGAAAGAGTAAGATAGAAAGAGAGAGAGAGAAAGAGGATCTTTCACACGCACACGCGTGCGTTGAATCTTTCTCTCTTTCTCTCTTTCTCTCTTTCTCTCTCTCTCTCTCTCTCTCTCTTGCTCTTGTACTCCCTACTCGACACGGGGTTTAACCGAGAGAACTCGTGTCGTCTCGCGAGTGCACTCACTCCATTGCCGATACCTTGATCTCAACTTTCTTTCTCTCTCTTACTCTCTTTCTGCTGCTTTGAGAGAGTCTCCAAGAGAGGAGGTTCGCATTTAACGCACACGGTGGGTGTCGCGCGCGTCTCTGTCGCCTCTCACCACCAGCACCAACACCACCACCACCACTAGCACCAGCCTCAGCACCACAACCACCACCACCACCACAAATACCAATACCATTATTACTGGTCCAAGGCGCCACCTCTTTTCTTCTTCTTCTTTTACTACTACTACTACTACTACTCATTCTTCCTTTTCTACCCTTTACGTGCTCCGGCAAAATCGAATGCTTTAACTTTGATTTCAATGCCCCCCCAAAATACGTTAGAATTCTAAAGAATTATTTGGTATTCCGAAAGAATATTATTATTATTATTATTATTATTATTATTGTTATTATTGTTAGAAAATTCTGAGAATGGTTTCTCGATGTATTGAGAAGGAGGTCATTGATTACGTTCTCTTTATTTCGTATTTTCTAACTGGCGCCCTGTATTACCAAATAACCTTTGACTTCTATCATTTGATTATGTCAGCAAAATCTTGGAGAGAAAGAGAGAAAGAGAGAGAGAGAGAGAGGTTCTTTGAGAGAGCCCATTATTTCTATCACATCTCCGCCCATCGGTCACACTTTCTGTTCGTTGATACGTTGTATTTATGATACGACGACAATGCAACCCTTCTTAAAATCAAACAAACCCAGCCTATCTATTCGCATCGAACAATTGATAATCATGTAAATTATGTACTCTGTTATGTTTCAATTGTTATTACAAATAGATTGAAATTATGAAAATTTATCCCCTTGAATACTAAATTATTTAAACATTCGAATGCATGTATAACAGATTTAATTTATTGCTATACGGATTAATATGTAAAAGTAATACATTTTATTTGGAATATATTTATATTGGTGATATAAATATATATTTTTGCAACAACATTTCAATTACAAAATATAAATAAATATATATAAATGAAACAAAAATAGAAATATTTATACATTTTATATATATTTTATTTATTATTTATATTACTAAATTTTTTGAAGATTTTTATGTATATATAACGAATTTAATTTGTTGCTATATGGATTAATATGTAAAGGTAATACATTTTCTTTGGAATATATTTATATTATAATATATAATATATAATATATATTATAATATATAATAAAATATATAAAATATAAAAATATAAAAATATAAAATAAAATATAATATAATTATAAAATATATAATATATATTATAATATATAATAAAATATATAAAATATAAAAATATAAAAATATAAAATAAAATATAATATAATTATAAAATATATAATATATATTATATCTTATATATTATAATATAGTATATATATTTATATAATATATTTATATTTTATTTGAAATATACATTTATATTGCTAATATAAATATATTTTTTTGCAACAACATTTCAATTACAAAATATAAATAAATATATAAATATAAATATTTACATATATATAAGTATCTGATTATTAGTTTAACAACAGAAAATAGAATTCAGTTTGATAAACAAGGCCAGTCAAGATTTCACCTTTAAAGTTTATTATGCCCCACCTACCCTTGAGAATCTTATTCCCTTTGTCTTCGAATGTTATAAACATGTGTAATCTCTATTACATACATTCTTAAACTATCGAATTCTATTTCTACAATAAATATACTCGATAGAACTTAAACTATAAGATTTGTTAATCTGCAAATAGGATTAGAAACATCTTAGGTAAAAAATATATTAACAAAAGTAAGGATATTAGAATAGGAATCCTAGAGAGGGTAAAACACATCAATGGACTAAATAGATTATGGTGAATGGAGGCGCGGTTACAGTTTCCTTTCCACTGGTCTGACCATTTCAAAGCGTTTCGACATGACGTCAAAGTTAAACACGTTAGACAAGCGTCGACCATGCAAATTCACGAAGTGCAAAAGGCAAGTCTTTTTTACTTGCAACCCTGTCACTATAACGTATAAATAATAGAATATATATTTTAAGTTTTACTACAAAAAAAAAATAGCCTTTGACGTAATCAAACAGTCTTTACTATTGTTGTAAGAACAAAGTTACCTGACTAAATTTTATATCAAAACCACCTTTCCAAATTGTATCCGATAGAAGATAGATACCATTGAATTAATACCTTGTTTAAATAGCTAACATTTTGTAGACATTTAGAAAAAGAAAAAAAATATATTATAAAAGATTAAGAAATATATATATATATTTTGAAAGAACATCACGTTCGAAATCTCAAACTAATCTACTAATCCGTTGAAACATGTAACACCAGGTAAGACTGTTTGTCGGCATTCAGTCGAAACACACAAAGATAATACCCTAGCAAAAGAGAAAGAAGAATATCTCTTCGAAAGGGTTCCACACGGAGAAGAAGAGAAAGAGAGAAAGAGAAAAAGAGAGAAAGAGAGTGAGAAAGAGAAAAGGGAATCGTGAACGCCGACGATACACGTCGCACACGCGCTCACATCAGAGACCGCAAGGCGAGAAAAGAAAAATGACGAAGAGAGACCTCGGCGGCCTGGCGTCGTCGTGTGCTGTTCGAAGGCGAGAGGGACGACGCTTTCGCAGATTCCACGTGAGATACCTGCGGCATTCTTCGTTCTGCACCA